TTCATCAGCTGCAAGGAGCCTGAAATAAAAAAACTTGAGACTTCTCTAGCAAGAAAAAAAAACGAAAAAAATGACAAACAAAACTGACGAATCAGAGCTCGAAACTGCGCTCTCAGAGAACATAAATGTTGTTTCATCTCTTCTGATGTGCCAAATTCACTCAATTGCAGCCTAAATTCAAAATCTTTCGATTCTTCGTAGCGAATCAGAAACGTTTAGAAAGCGTAAAGCGCGCAAAAACCATACCACTGTTCTTCAGGTGCCAAATCTTCATTTAAATAACGTGGTAGTGACTGCCCTTCCACTAAAGCCGCAAGATCACCGCGATCGCGAATTATCTGAAACAAAAGCAATCTGAAGCGAACTCTCATTTTGACTCACGAGAAAACTTGTTGAAAAAAATCAAACAACAGTGACACACCTCAACAAGATTGTAATATGAAGCTGGTTTTTGGAACAGATTCACTAGTCGTTGAGTAAAGTTCAGTAGACTGTCTTTAACATCGAGCAAACTGTCGTATAAGCCGGAGTTGCTGAGGAATCTAAACATATGAATTTAATTTGAAGAAATTGTTCAAGGAAGATAATTATGGTGTTCTTCATTACGTACTTCGAGCTTTCACATTCTTTCACCAGATCCATTGTTTCATTCAGAGACACTTCTTTCCGCTGTGCCCGTTGTTGAACAGCATACAGTCGCACTACTTCCTCCCGGAGTCTGCTCATTACTGGAAGCAAACTCATAGCTGAACCGTGAGATTCATTCGAACAGCATGCAGTGATTTTGAGGGTTCAAAGGTCCTAGCTGTCAATACCAATCAACAGGTAAGGCAGAGTGTTAGCACAACCCAGACAGAGGCGTATCAATTCCCAGAAAAAGTTTTGATACTCAGTAAAGTGAAATGAAATGTTTGAATAAATATCGCTAGAACTCTTTACCTGCTCCACCCTTGATGTCTCATACCGGCAGTCTTGCTCGCTGCGGATGATGAGGATGATGGATAAAGGGGTTCGGCGCGTCGTCAGCCCGTTTCTCATTAACTGTTTTCGCTGCCCTCTTCAACAATTAGTGGAGAACAGGCTCATTGAACCCAGCCACACTGGCACGCCCCATCATCAGCAGTGAACAAGGCTGTATAGAGCGAATGGCGATAAAAAAGCTTATCGCTAATGTGGCTTACTCCCATCAGTTACTTCGCATGGGATGATGGTAAAGAATAAACGAAAAAATTTTCACAAGAATGCTAAGTTGTGGGCAAAAGTCGGACGGTATTCGAACCCGCATCTTCTGCTTACCGGGCAGTTGCGTTCCCTATTACGCTACCGGGGCCACTTTTGACCTCTCAGCTCAATGGCTATTTGTGCCATTGCCTTCGAGCACTCACACGTTCAACGTGATGAGCCGGTTAGCCGATATCGGCAGTGAACCGCAAGGCTGAAGGCTTTTTACTGCCTTACTTACTTTTGCCCACAACTCAGCATTGTTGTGATAACTTTCGGATCGCGCACTGCGGCGTTAAACAGCAGCTTACCAAACAATAACAGCTTGAAACTGATAAAATTTTCGCTGTTGATCACCACTGTTTCTGTGATGTGGCCCGCATTCCACTGCCATTCAAAGTCTTACTGGATTTTTCAATGCGAAACGGCCTATACAGTACCTTGCGGGGGCCAGTCCGGGTAGAAGGCTCGGTTGGCCTTACCGGACGCGAGCCAGGAAAGCATGCCACTTGCATTACGTCACCCCGCCTCGGGATGACGGTGTGGGTGAATTTTGTAGACACCCACTGCGCAGTTCTCAACCCTTGCATATCTTCAAAAACCATCTAATCGGTTCAAGAGTGCTTGACAGCGTACTTACTGCCAGGGTCTAGTCATAAAATAACTCATGGATCGTGTGACGCTGTACGGGAAGCAGGACGCCTAGTGTCAGAGCGAGCTTCCGGGAACCTGCGAGCGAATGACAAATCCTTGCAAATCACGCAGCTGCTACATGAAGAAGGAAATACGCTAGAGCCTCTTTTAAGTATTGAACTTGACGACAGACAGCTTCACCTTTTTACAGCAGACGACAGCGTTGGAGTGGTTGCTTTAGTTCACATTAATTTACATTAGCAGTAATCCACATTGGCGTTTCCCGAACCTTATCACATTTTACGGTGTAAATTCAAAAGCTCTGGTAGGAGTGCCTCTTTTTTGCTCCCCTCCAATTAGTAGCTAAACAGAAAGCTTCCTACTTTTCGTATCCAGCCAGTCTGATTCACGAATTTCCTTCCAAACGTTTTCCAAGTCCTTGTCGTTTGCTGAGGAATCCTCGAATAAGAGCTCAACCTAGAAATCGACATAATTGAAATGCATTAAGAAAACCGAGCAAAAAAGGATGCGAACCTTCGATTCAGCTATAAGAGCAGTTTTGAAGAGAGAATGTAGGCGATTTACTGGTGAGTCAGGACCTCCATTAGGGAACAGCCGACCTCCATCAGAGACCAAACTAAAAATTACTTAGTTACCAGCGGTGCGAATAAACCACTTCGCTGTTAGTCAGATAGTATTAATAATTCCGCGCACGCATACCGCAAAACTTCTTCACGCTTCCACCGTTTGAGTGTCAAAAAATCATCGCTCTCTTCAATGCCTTCCAATGTGGTCCATTCCAGCACACACTTTGCGTTGTCGTTCCACTCCCTCATTTCGATGGTCTTCAAAACATTAGAATTCATTTAGGAAAACCTGTACAATCACCTGCAAGGACAGCTGTTTTCATGTGGGGCACGGAGCTGCAGTACCGTGCAACTTTATCCGCTCGTCAGTGCACAGGAACGACACTGGGAGCAGTACTCACGTGCCGTCTCCCGACTCCACCCGTACCGTCGCACGGACAGCCAAAGGCCTATTCACGGCCGAACGCGCTACTTTCCTGCGCCCTCTCTTCTGACTGGTCTCCAGCTCCGAGTGCTGTTTGCTGCGGGGTTTTAATGTCAACATGCCGCACACTGAAGATAGTGCGGGCAGAGTATGAACATGACACCCTAGCATCGCAATCCTCCACTCCCGTTCCCGTGCTTTTTGAGAGGAGGAAATGGCGCACCACTGCAGCTGCGGACGTACCTACTTCGCACATGGAAAGAATCGTCCTCGCAGATGAGTGTATGATTTCTCTTGGTGATAACAAAGGAGATTTTTATGAAAGGCTTACCCGCCAAAGCTGGTCTATTTCATCTAAACGAACGTCGAAGTCCTCTCCATGTTCCACAAGTGTCCGTAAATCATTGCTCGTTAGGGACGTATCATCATCTGCACATTTTTTAATGGCCTCACTCGCTTCCGTTCGCCAAACTTCCACCCTTTTGACAAGATCCTGAACAAAAAACAATTTCTAAAAAAATCAAAAAAAACTATGCCATACGATCCAACCTCAAGCTCATCCACGAGATTCTGTTGATCACAAGGCAGACTTTGTAGCTCTTCAATAAAATCCTGAATGCCTGCCAAGTCTAGTCTAGTGTCAGCTCTTCCGATCGCGTTTTAACTCTGAAATCCACCAATGGCACTCAGAGACCACGCCTTATACAGGAGAGATCATCTTCTGTTGATTCCAGTTTTCACCGTCAACGTCAAATAGACTAAGCTTACCTTGTACGAACTTTCCCATTGAGAAGTGTTCGCGCCTTCTCTGCCGCAGCATGACACGTCTTTGTGATATCTTGAAGTCTGACAAGGGGGCTTGTGTGCGGGAATTTTTTATGCCGTGCCGTTTCCAAAAGATTTTCAACAGAGTTCAGTGCTGAAATCATCCTCTTCGTAGTTTCT